AACACCCTTTAAAATGGATAGATATATCTTTCCAAGTATAAGGCATATCATTATTCATGTGGTGTGGTTGGACTCTCTTTTTAACTACAAATTTATGATTCAATCTTTAATTATTATATTTGTAATACCCCAAAATTTTGTGCTATTTTAGCATTTAAGTAAGGGTTTTTGTGTGAGAAAATATTGTTTTGGGCTTAATAGCCAAAAGTTTGAAAGTTGAGGGACTTAAAAGTGGAAGAGTTTTGGATAAGGATGGCTCCTTTTCTTTTTCTCTTTTTTCCTTCTTTCTTTCTTCTCCAGCCCGCATGTTCTGCTCTTCCCGACCCCCCTGCACCCGAGAGAAAAAAAAAAGAAGGGGAACCCAGCCATGCTTGAGAAATCGGTGAGAAAGCTTGGTTTTTGGCCTTCTTTTCTTGCTCTAGAACACTTCTAGAACCCATAAATCTCCCCCCCCTTGCTGGAAATTCCAGATCTGCCTTGCTCTGCTCCCTTGTCCGCCGGCTGCTCCTGCCTTGTGGGGGTGATTTGCTCCGGTTTTGGGTAAGAAACAGCTACCAATCCCTTTGTTCTTGCTTGAATTAACTTGGGTTTACCTTAATTTCCTCTTGGTTCTCCAATTTTTGAGGTAGGCCGTGAGTTTCTCCCCAAATTGCCGCCGGCTTCTCCCTCACCAGCCAAGCCCGGTTTTGCTTGCTGGAAAATTCTGGTATGTGGCAGCCTTTTTAGGCTTAATTTGTCCATTTTGTTTGCTGCCTTGTGTGTCTGAAATTCTGCAGAAAAATGGGGAAATTCCGGTAGCAATTAAGAGGGATTTAAGTGTGTTTTGTTGCTTAATTCAAGTGAGATTTATGTGATTGAGTGTTAGTTGGTTGTTGTGATTTTTGGAGGAAAATCCTGTGGAATTAGCTAGTGTTGTGGCCAACTTTTGGAAGTGCAGTTACTGTTCACGTCGGGGTACTGTTCATGGGTACTGTTCATAGGTTACTGTTCACACCCCGAGGGTCAACATTTAACGGGGATTTAAATGATTAGTTTGTGATATGAGAACGAATTTGGAGATGTCCGATCATGTGGAAAGTGATAAAAATAGCATTATGATTAGGAATGATCCTAATGATGATTTTCGTGTGAATTTGTGATAGTCCGGTATTAATTCTGAGGTGTTTTGATTAGGTTTCCGATCGTTCTGTCAGTTAGTGTGTGAATTGAATGCTCGGTTTATGCGAGTGAGGTAAGTAAATTTATGGTAATGCACGTACTGTTTTAAAAGCATGTTTTGATTTGTTTTTGAAGTGGTGGCGGGACTAAACCCGTTTTACACGAGCATGACTGATTTGAAGTGAAATGTTTTGTGCTTTTCATGAAATTGAGCATGCCTACTTGGAATTTAAGTGACTGTCCTGATGATTTGAAAGTGATGATCTGAAAGTGATTGTGAATTGTGATTTTCCTGTGAACTTCTGCCTGTTTTGTCTCCGATATGGTCATGTTATTCG